TTCTTTTTTGTTTTTTCTCTTTTTGATTGTCCAGGTCGGAGGTAGGATCAGAGTCGAGTGTAGCCACCCACCTACCTGTAGTTTCTCTTCGTGTGTTGCTCTCTCTCTCTCTCTCTCTCTCTCTCTCTCTCTCTCTCTCTGTGAATAATGATGGTTCCTACCCACCTTGAACGCGAATAGATAGCTGAGAGGCAGCACCTGTCTGTGCCTGTTGGCGGGATCGGGACATGTGTGTGCATCTCTCTCTCTCTCTCTCTCTCTCTCTCTCTCTCCCCCCGTTGATTGCTGCGAGTGGAAGTTCGATTTGCCATCAGTAGGAACTGTCGAGCTGTACATCAGACTGCAGATCGAGGGGACTTACCCTGGACTTTGGGGATTAGCATTTTCTCCTCTCCTCCTTCCCTTATGCCGGCTCCTTGTCTGTGTGAGATGGGGACCATAGCCTAAGAGCAAACCCTCCTGAAGGGTGAGGCGTTCTTTAGAACCAATCTGGTGATGGAGGGAGAGCTCTGCGTATTTTTTTCGCTATGCTCTGATTCATCGGGTTTGAAAAGGGGTTGGGCTTTTATTTTCGATTTCGTGCCTTAGGATTTGGGAGCAGAAATGGCACAGCGGAGTATGGGTGGAATGAAATTTTCTCGTTTGGGGTTTTGGGTTGGGGGGTTGAGCAGTGGCCGGTTGTGGACATCTGGCGAGGGTGATGTTGTTGGGACTGTCAGCAAGCGAAGCCGTAATTGACAAGTAGCGGCAGGGGAAGGAGGAGGGATAAGGAGGAGGAGGAGGAGGAGGAGGAGGAGGAGGAGGGAGGAGGAGGAGGGAGGAGGTAAATGAGGGGAAGAAAAGATCGATCCACAGATCGCGCCGGCAGATAGATAGATGTAGATGGAGCAGTGTATTGAAGAGGATGTGGAACGTGCGTGTAACGTGTGGAGTTGGTTGGGTGATGGAGTTAGTTGCGCACGTGATTGGCCGCCGTCGATGATTACGCCGCCGGCAATCAACGGACGTGATCGTTCCAAGAGAAGAGATGGACGATGCAGCCGCCGCCGCTTCTTGGGACAGCTCCAGTTTTTGTGTGAAGATGACGAACAGTGAGCGTTATGTCCTAATACTGTAATTATTTGTGTGTCAGATTTTTTATTTTTTTTAATTTTTTTTTTAATTTGTTTTTTTTTGGTTGGGGAAACAGATGTGTGTTGCGTGTTGTCATGTTCGTTATACACAACACCAGTAAAAAAAAAAAAAAAAAGACTGTGCCAGACTGTTTCGTCCGGACTTTCGCCCACTCGTCAGGAGGTTGAAACTCTTTTGTATATCGAACAGTCTGCGCAGTGTTTTTTTTTGTGTGTGTGTGTGGTGTGAGAGAGGTATGCTGTTTCGCTGGTGCACCTACTCGTCGAGAGGTTGAATCCTGACACAGTCTGCGAAGGATGCATTTGACTGATGTATAAGGACTCGCCACGTCACCGACAGTTAGTGATACCCACGTTGAGAGAGGAGAGTGGTTGACTTTTACGCACACCTACCACCCTGCAATTCTGGCAGACTGTCGCTTCAAACCCCTTGACAAGAATGGAAGGAAGTCTGAGAAGCTTTTGTGTACAACCACGAAATCTGCTCTTTTGTGTGTGTTTGTGTCT